GGGGGTGTTGGCTTGCTTGCTAAAGGACGCATATATGACGAAATTAACCTTTATAATAACATATGTGCGACAATGTGTTAATCTTTCCGTAAGCCTCATGCGCGCTTACAGCCCACAACTAATCGCGGAAGTTGAAAACAAACAGATACAGATAGAGAAATGTCTGTCCCTCCGTGTTGACATTTGCTATTAACCCAGCTCCACTCGTCTGTCAGCCAGCCTTACACGGATGTATTTCAAACACCCAACACCACCATGGCCAATAGAGACAGTCGCATTTCGATCCGATTGCGCGTGTGGGCTTTTGGCTTTTACTCAGCTGAGCTCACGTTCGGCGTAGTCCTACGACACGACACACGGACGAACTCACAACGACGGCTCAAGCTTGCTTGTAACAAGATCGCTTGTTGCCTTTTGACAACTTGTTGAGATCTCTTATGGAAGTTGTAGTGAACGTTCAGTGTGTGTTTTCCTGGATTTTAAAATGATAGTATGGTGTCCATGGTGAGGTTTGTGTCCTTAGTTATTAGATATATCTCCTAAGTTTTTGCTTACTTTAGTTTGATTTTTTTTCCAGTCTCTGTTACCTTGCAGTGTTGAGCGGAGAGACAAACGACTTTCTCTTGTTTGTTGTATCGCCTGTTGCATAGTTACGCTGCTCTTGATTAACATGTAGTCTTCTGACCCCCATTCTATCCATCTTTTCCTAGGCCTGCACCTTCTTCGTAGGTTAATCTGCAAACGTTTATCTAAAACAAGTTCAGCCTAACATCTACCATCATGGTGGCATCTCACAATGTTGTGGACTAGATCTACATCCGTAGGCTAACTCTCAGTTTTGAAGGACAAAGTTGGTGGTTGGCAGGTGCGTTTGTTTAATGTACTCCTTCTTTTCTATCAAACACCTATCGCCTATAGCTCTCCTACATCTTTTCTTTGTACGTTACACACTTGTCACACTTCTATTCTTCGGCTTTCGTTTGACCTTAAATTTTGAGTTGCGTGCCGTAAATCTCTCTCTAAAACTAAAATTAAATAAAATTCCGAGTCTTGTTCTTGCATTTGCCATTGTGTTAGGCTAGGTAGTGTAGATCTCCTTCTTTGCTATGTATGTTACTCTCAGGTAAAACCTTTTATCTTCAGCACTTGGGCGATATTACAAGTACTGTAGGCCTAGAACTCCCATTTGAATTAAAATAAGCATAATTTTGAGTCTGGTCCTAGCATATTTTGCCATCGTGTTATGCCAGTAGCGAACATTGTTGACAGCTCCATATCTGTCCATTTTGTTCTTGAAATACAATCGTTTTCCTCTTGCAACATGGCTGCTTGGGTCAAGGCTGCTATTACGATTTGTTTGTTTGTTTGTTTTTGTTTCTGTTTTTTTCTCTTATCCCCTCCACTTTGGAACCTGTAATTATTTGATAATGATACTAATATAATAGATTACATCTATACATAGCGCTTATCCATTCTTGAAAGACGTCTATGCAGTTTGTTAGTTTGGCAAGGAGTTTTACGGCACTCGATTACGACTGCGTAAGGTCAGAAGAAAAGCATGCAGGACTGAGATAGATCTAGATAGTTTCAAGTTTTCTCACAGCACGGACTCGTTTCAGTTTGTACATTGGGATGGTTGTAGTTGTTTCTTTTTTGTTTTGTTTATATTAGTTGTATTTGTTTTGTTTTGTTTGTTTGTTTTTGTTGTTGCTTTGTTTTTGTTTTGTTTTTTGATGAGTTTTCTTTGTTTTTGTTCTGTTTGCTTGTTTTTGCTTTTGGTTGTTTTGTTTTTGTGGAGTCTTTGGGGTTTTTTTTAAGTGTTTGTGCCGGTTGTTGGTTTTTTTTATTCATGTTAAAAGTTCAGTTGTATAAAAACTGTAGTTTATATGTTTTGAAATAATCTTTATTTATATTTATTGCGAAGAGAACAATGGTCTTTGGAGGCTCTGTGGCTTTTACAATTTATGTCTGTCCGGACAGACCAGACAACATTCTGAATATTCTCTGATTCTCTGAATCTCTCTGGAAAGAACGTGTGGTTGGCGGGTGCTCGGATGTGGTTTGCTCCTTTTTTCTCACCAAACATCTATTGTCGCTATCTCTCCTACGCCTTTTTTCTGTGTGTTACTCTCTTGTAGCACCTCTAATCATCGTTACTTATTTAACCTATTTGTGTTGTTCGTGCCGTAAAAGCCATATTTAAATTAAACTTAAACTCTCTAGCAGTAAGTCCATCCGATCGGCACTTAAACGATCAATTCGTGTTGCAAAATCCGTAAATCTTTTACTAAAATTTAACTCTCTAGTCACACCTCTAATCTTCAGCATTTTTGACCTACTTCTGCTGCCAGTCTTACTTAAACTTACTAAAGTTAAACAAACTACAACACACGTTTTCTTTTCAACTTTCCTTTTTATTTACTTGCAATATTATCCACACGGATATATGGTTCGATAAAATATTGAACGGCGAAAACAAGCTTTGGCTCACCAGCTCACCAGCTGTTTCTCATGAGATGATCGTCAGACCAATCGTTCATCCCTCCCTTGTCAGTGTATTATGTACAGCTTTATCGCCTCCCCATGAACCAGTTATCTAATTTTCATGGGAACCACTTTAAAGCAATAATGTCCAGTCGCGAAACAGTGTCAGTTGTTGAAGAAGAAGTAGAAGAAGAAGAAGAAGAAGAAAAAGAAGAAGAAGAAGAAGAAGAAGAAGAAGAAGAAGAAGAAGAAGAAGAAGAAGAGGAAGAGGAAGAGGAAGAGGAAGAGGAAGAAGAAGAGGAAGAGGAAGAAGAAGAAGATGATGATGATGATGATTAATGATGATAATGATGATAATGATGATAATGATGATAATGATGATGATTGTGAGCATGATACCTGACGATAAAAAATGCGTCTGCAGAGGAGACTAATTCTGAAGCGAAACAGAAAAATATACCGGTGAAGATAACTTGTGGCGTCTGCCTTGGCCAGTGTGACCAATTCTGGCAAAAAAGAGTTGACACATTGTCAGCATAATTTTTGAAATCTTCATTCCACTCGGAGATGTGCTCTTAGCTTGCCGTTTTCTTCTTTTGGTTTCAGCATTTCTAATTCGTGAAGCCTCATTATATTATAACTTGTTGCCCTCTGTGACTGCTGCTCTCCAGCTGGGTCTGTCAGAAGCTAGGCCGGCCCATTTTGAGGGATTAATATTGTAGTCTTTCAAATTCAGAGACATTTCTTTGTTAGTTCAATGTGAAACTGATATTCTGTTACAGAACAGGGACATTTTTTGTGATAATTTTGGGCTCAAAGGGAGAATTTTTCAACATCTTTCACACTTGTGACAACATTTCCGAAAAATCGGAAATTGGAAGTACTACAGTAATAGTGAGCACTCAACTAGGGACTTGTCATTATCATCATCATAATAATCCTCCTCCTCCTCTTCATCCTTATCATCATCATCATCATCATCATCATCATCATCATCATCATCATCATCATCAT